CTATGAATTATATTGCGTCTCAAAGCAATTAATGAGTGAACCTATCTAGATGTTGGGGAAAAGTGAGGAAAGAAGTAACGATAAGTTCTGCTTTAACCCTTAGCCCTACATAATGCACTGCGCACTAATAATGAGCAGAAAGAAGTATTTGATTTACGTACCTAGTGGAAAGGAAAGGGAAAGCGGTGAATAGACCAGACCTATTTGTGAGTCGGGCTTAAATTTGACTTTTTGTCAAAATTTTAATGGATTTAGCTTCAAGTTCGAGCCTGAGATGGTGTAGAGTTGGACCCGAAACCCGAACTGTTACAAGTCTAATGGTGAGGGAGAGGTATCCTTTACTTTCATTACGCTATATTTGGGTTGAAGCTAGGAAAGAATAGGAAAAGAAAGAGAAATGCGGAGAAATCTATACAAATTAGTATATATGTAGTTGTTGTAGTATTGATGCCATCATGCCATTGAGAATATAAATAGCCCACCCACACGGCCACACCACACCTTCAAGAATCAAGACTAGCGCATACTCAACACAAAAATGAAAAATGCGTCTCCACAAAACAAAGGTACCCTAGACTAATAAAAATTTTATTTTTTTGTTTTTCTCTTAGTTTGTCGAATTTCTTAATCGGTCACATGCACCTAGTCCTAGTGTACTGAATGCATGGCTCACTATCTACAGTAACAGAGAGTTGGCCACCACCTGGGTGGCTGGGTCAATATAAATATATATAGTACAGTACAGTGCCACGGAGGTTTTATATATATATATATATATATATATATATATATATCACACAATTAAACACCGACGACATACATAGACTTTCAAGTTTCAAAGACTATAAAGGGACCATGAATTTATTCACCAATCGGATGATGATGATCAGTGTATATGTCGCATTATATTTAATGGGCAACCTCCTAGTGGGTTGGGTTGGGACTTGGGAACAACCGTACGTGAAAAGCAGTACCAATCCACACCAATCCCTCTTTTTTCAGTCTTTTTCACCTTGGTTTAAACTTGCAAGCCTAAACAAACCAAGCAAGTGATCATGGAAAATTAAGTTCGGTGAATACAAGATGTACTTGTTTGGCACAACAAATTATATCTTTTTTTTCTTCTTTTCATTACCGTACTTGTCTTGGGATAGTATTGGATCAGTCTGCTGCTGGATTCGACCAATAATTCCCCCAAACGATACAAGGAGAATTGTACACGGTTTAGTTATTGGTTTCTTCCATGACTGAACCCAGATTCAATAGATTAATTAATTAATATTAAAGTACTGAGTGGCATGTCTCTTGTAAAGAATTTCTTCCTTTCATTACCTTGCACAAGCCTTTCTTTTAATCACTTTTAGCTAGATAGGGTCTTTGTACATGTCTTCCAAGGACTGATCCAGACAGATTAGAAGTTAACACCCAGCACTTTTATGTGACGTGTCTAAACAATAAGCTACCAAGATTGATGTATACCACGCGCCTTTTATCCATTCCTTCAATTATAAATTAATTAAAGAATTACACTTCTAATCACAGCAACTTTTGGCTTCATCTGAATTAAAAACACCACAATTATTACGTTTTTTTTTTTTTTTTCTTTAAAGCAGACAATCTCTTATTTAATTCATCTTTTTATTTTTTATTATAAATGAATATTCAATTAATATAAGATGCCTGATTATGTTCGCAAAAACATGGCTTTAATGTGGGTATAAGTATATCTAATTCGCAAGTTGGATTCTTAATTTATCGCAAATGGACAGGTCTAACCAATGGGTCGGGTTTGGTTTAGCTATATAAACAAAAAATAAATGTGCAGAATAACCCCCGAATCGGATTCTAATTACAGAACCAGATCCTAATATAACTGCGTTGGTTTGATTCAATTTGCTAGGTTCTGTCGGGACTACAACTTATTCATACCTCTACTCGTCTATGATTAAGTATTAATTGTTTATTTTTAATGATTATCTTCTTTTCTCTCTCTCTATATTTATATGTATGTGTATTAGTTAAGAGAGAACTTGCAACAAGCTCAATATAAAAATAAAAAAATATTGTTTTAATTTTTAATTAATGTGACAACTAATAGTAGTTGTATATAAAATGAAGTGAAAGCATACAATTTATCTTCTCATAGCCTGCGCATGTGATCCCGAAGAGATAAGTTATTTGATTTTTTATTTCTTTAGTTTTTGATCAGCATCTTCATTCTTCATTCTTAATTCATGTCATGCATGACACACTGGTAATTAAAACTTGTGTTGGATTCATATGTGTGCATAGACACTTAGAAACCTTTTAGTTAGTCAATTACGTTAAGAGAGAATTTCTTTTTTTCTTTTTTTTTTTTATCATTTTAATATATTTATATGTAATTATGGTTATTGGAGACTCCTAATTTTTCCATTTTACAACATATATATTTTTGTTATTATGGTTATTGGAGACTCTAACTATCTATGTTGCTATCCCCCTCTCATTGACATTTGACAGGTGGGATATACGTAATATGGCATATTGACTTCTACAAATATAACATAAAAGAAAAAAAAGAGTTATCTGATGCTTCTAGCAGACAAATGCATGCACCTTGAATCTTTAACTCCATGGACCGTAAAAGAAAAGAAAAAAAAGTTGGATTAAGATTTTATCCAAATAAAAAAGGGCATTACCCAGTGCTAATCCTGTCTGTCTATATATTCCTTATTAAGATGGATCGAGGTGTTGAGTATGTAACACAAATTATCAAAGAATTCTCTTCATCAAACCAAGCAATGTAAATTTTAGGATCAATTTAATTAATCAATATATAAATGGTTCCAAGAAATAATTAAGCAATTAATTTGCGGACTTAATGTTTAAGCAAGCTAATTAAAACGGCTATATAAGAGATCCTTATATAATAATAAAACCAACAAGTATAATTTACTTACTACTATATGAGGAAATTAACAAGTATCAAAGGAATATTCCTAAAATCCCTTGCTTGTGTTCATCTCATCTACATGCATCATGCATGCTAGCTAAGTTTAGGAGTAGTGCACCACTCTGCATTACCAAAAATAGAATAGTAGAAATATTGATAATTTTAATGGAAATGCTAGAGTGCGAAAAAAATAGTTATATTGTTAAAGTCAAATGCGTTCACTAGCTAGCTATGCCTATTCATGACTTTGACAAATCACGTGCTTTCTCTCTCTAGTTTCTGCCTTTTCACGGGTGCAGGACAGGCATCAGGTAGTGGTATGTTAAATTGTTACTCCACCGTCATTGTGTCATTGAGACTTGGGAAATGGTAAGTAAAGGTAGTGGTACCCCTTGGCCTCGTATGCGGCGAGTGGAAAAAGTTCAAATTTACTAATTTAAACAATAAGTAGATTGTAAAATAAGATTTTTTTTTTTTTGTAAAATAAGTTGATTGTAAAAACTTTAAACTCAAAATCTGCATTGGGCCTGTCTGTAATTCTTCCTTTGTTTTTTTTTTAAATATGAATTATAACATGTCAACTCCGTTGAAACGTTATACTTACGTGAGAGAACCTACAAATAGGTCTAATGTAAACTTAATTTTGAGTTTGAAATATTTTTCCTGTGTGTATGATGAGGTGCCAGGTGCGTGAGTTTGAAATATTCTGATCTGATCTGATCTGATGGGGACCATCAGCCATGGGGCCTTGTCACGTCTCATGTGAGGTGAGATGATTCTCATTTGTGACATGTTAGTGACAGGCAATCACAGCCCCCAGCTCTTGATATTGTTGATTGATCAAGGAAAGATTTAAGGTTGTAACCGTTTGGGTGGTGAACAAATTGACATTCAACCTTGGAGCTTTTGGTTGAGACTTGAGAAAAAATGATATGTATAAGGTGATTTCACGACAGCAAGCCTGTGACTGAGGGCCCAAGTCCCAGGGCGTGGCATTTATAATTGTCAACCGCATTCAGAAATTAGAATAGAAATGCGTGGCCACAATTTAGGGTCTGTTTGTCTGTTTTAAAGTTTGATATTGGTGAGTTTTTCTTCCGTCTGAAATTTGAATACAAAAAATATTATTCTGTTCTGACAATTACCAAATATTTATTCTGATGTTATATATAAAAATTATTGTTTATTTTTATTAAACATATAATTAAAAAACAAAAAATTGTGTGGTTATACTTTTAGAAATAAGAGATAAAAAAAATGAACAACCATTGACCTTTGGTTTGTAATTGGTGGAAAGTGACAAGGGCTGGGGCCTAATGCTATGGGCCCTTCTTTGACTTTTCTACACATAGGTGGGGCCATCCAATCCATCGTCATTGAACACTAATAATTTATTGGTTTAATTATTTAAAACATCGTTGACAAAGATTTTTGAATTAAATTATTTTGATTATGTAAATAGAAATATAACTGTGAAAAAAAACGTCATGCCGTTAAGCCCCCAGACTCATGTTTACGTGTAACTAATTTCTTGGTAGGAAAAGCATAATTGGACGCTCAACAAATAAAATTGGTCATCAAATCATGCTCACTTTTAACTTTGTCATTAACCCACAGATATTATTATTATTATTATTATATTTTCTTTGTTTTATCCGGCGTTTCTTCTCTCTGTCCGTATCTGTGGTTAGTCAAGATATATAATTGCAATTTTTCCTACTTAAGCTGCTAAGTATAGGTTTAGAATCGTTGATGAATTCGGAATTCCGCAATTGAAATAGAGAGATCAGGCATTTCCAGGTAAGCGATCAATTAATTAGATTCGTAATTTAGTAGGAGAAATATATGTATGTATATATATATATATATATATATATATATATAACACTGAAAAATTGCCATTCCATTTGAGATTTTTTTTTTTTTGTTTTTGGGGGAGAGGGGTGGTCCAAAAAACGGCGTTGACTCGTAAGATAGGAGAGGGGATTACCGTAGAATCTGTAGATGCTGGGGCATATTCCAACTTCCGAAACTCCTTTAAATACAATCCATTCTCCACACCAGAACCAGAAGATCTCTCTCCTATCTTCCTCGGCCCTTCTTCTATCTTCCGTTCTCTTTCCGACTCCGAGTTCCGACTATTTCCGCTGGAGGCTGGAGGCTGGAGGCTGGAGGCTGGAGGCTGGAGGCTGGACTGACTGATACGCTCCAGAAACAGGTGAGTTGTAGCTTTAATTTATTGGAAGTAGTTTGGTTGGTGGAGTGAGTGTCTACCCCTCAGTTTTATGGCGACAAGTGGCAAAAACGGATAAAGGGTAGTGCACAAAAAGTGGAGCATTCTCTCTCTCTCTCTCTCGTGTGATCATGAGTCTCATACCAGACCAGACCCGAGAGTGCGTGTGCGTGCCATGCGTCCACAGTTGTATGGTCAAATTAATAGTCCTGTTCCCCCGTTTGTATAAATTTGTAAGAAAAAAGGGAGGGGACATATATCAGGTTTACCTGGGCAGGAGACAGATAGATAATCCGACGGTCTTGATTCTCTCGCTTCGTCAATCGACTCAATCTCCTACCCATTTAATTTGCAATTTACTTTTGGAACTGGAAGTTTCTGTCTTCCCGAATTCTATCTCCTCTTATATTAATTCTTATCGTCTTTTATTCTTTTACATGATTAAGCTTAATTTGCATCCAATTCCAATCTCCAATTTCATTCGAGTAAAGATCCGGTACGAACACAAACAGGCAAGTGTTCTGTACACATGGTGTATTCACTCTCATAATCGGTTATCCTAGATGATCAATCATCAAGTACAGAACACAACAGAACTGCCGTATTCAACTTGTGATTAGTGATAATAATAGTCAGATTCACGCACTTGCACGCGCAGCATATACATCCCTAACGCTCTCCTAGCTACCATCATCCCTAACTCCTCCGGCCGTTTCTAGCTAGCAGATGTGATTCGCCCCCTCCCCTTTCATCTTTATCTTTACCAACCGTTGGCCTCACGGCTCAGAGTTGGTCAATACCACCACCATCTCTCTCTCTCCCTATTACAGGAACAGGAACAGAGCATGTGTAAATGCAAATACCCATCTCTCTCTCCTATACGCATCATGTTATCATCACCTACAACTATTCATGCTTAAATAACCGGTAAGTAGACCTTGCACCCCCCACCCAGTCCACCCTTTAATTTCCCAGAAAGCTCCGCATTTTTTTTTTATTTTTTTTATTTTTGCTTGTTAATCCGTCCATTACAAGTTACAACTGCCCTCTATTAATTATATTTTTTCTATATATCCACGGACCCCCCCGATATTGACCTGTAAAATGTGGGGGCTTGGATCTGTGCTACCTACGAGACATGATGCTCTGTGGGAACAAGGACAACATGTGGGTAGTAGATCCCGAGTGAAAATTTGGAGCTAAGACCTAACACACCCGTTCAAGTTTGAACTTGGAAGCGTAGCTAGCATGAGCCATGCATGCATGTTTGTGATGTTGCTCACTTTGTTTCTTAATTTTTTCCAACATAAATGATACATACAGGAGGGATTAGGGAACAGAAGTTGTTGTTTCCATCGGCCGGCCGCTGAGAGTGATAGTGATAGTGGTGGTGCAGCCGTGGAGCAAGGAGGCAGGGGCAATAGGCAGCCATGCCATTGGAGGTGCTTAACGCACTTGATGCAGCGAAAACACAATGGTACCACTTCACCGCCATTGTGATCGCCGGTATGGGCTTCTTCACGGATGCCTATGACCTCTTCTGCATCTCACTTGTCACCAAGTTGCTGGGTCGCATTTACTATCACGTTGATGGCGCAACGAAGCCGGGAACTTTGCCTCCTAACGTGGCCGCCGCTGTTAACGGTGTCGCCTTCTGCGGTACCCTTTCTGGCCAGCTCTTCTTTGGGTGGCTGGGTGACAAGATGGGCCGTAAGCGTGTCTACGGTCTCACCCTTGTTCTCATGGTGGTCTGTTCCATAGCCTCGGGGCTTTCCTTCGGTCACGAACCAAAAGGTGTCATTGCCACGCTCTGTTTCTTCCGCTTCTGGCTCGGCTTCGGGGTTGGCGGTGACTACCCACTGTCCGCCACCATCATGTCTGAGTATGCCAACAAGAAGACTCGTGGTGCTTTCATTGCTGCCGTGTTTGCCATGCAGGGCTTTGGAATTTTAGCTGGTGGGATTGTAGCAATCATCGTCTCCGCCGCTTTCAAGGCCAAGTACCCAGCCCCGGCTTACGAAGTGAATGCACTTGCCTCAACTGTCCCACAGGCTGATTACATATGGCGTATTATTGTGATGTTCGGTGCGCTACCGGCGGGGTTGACATACTACTGGCGTATGAAGATGCCTGAGACTGCTCGTTACACTGCCCTCGTTGCCATGAACGCAAAAAGGGCCGCCGCAGACATGTCCAAGGTTCTACAGGTTGAAATCGTCGCTGAACAGGAGAAGGTCGAGCAACTGGCGCAGGACCGAGGCTACCAGTTTGGTTTGTTCTCTAAGGAATTCCTTCGTCGCCACGGTCTCCATTTGCTCGGAACCACCAGTACTTGGTTCTTGCTGGACATTGCGTTTTACAGTCAGAATCTGTTCCAGAAGGACATATTTAGCGCAATTGGGTGGATTCCCCCAGCAAAGACGATGAATGCGATAGAAGAAGTGTTTAAAATTGCGAGGGCTCAGACGCTGATTGCACTGTGTAGTACAGTTCCCGGGTACTGGTTTACGGTGGCACTGATTGACTACATGGGGAGGTTTGCAATTCAATTGATGGGTTTCTTCTTCATGACGGTATTCATGTTTGCCCTTGCCTTTCCTTACGACCATTGGACTAAGAAGGATAACCGGATAGGGTTCGTGATAATGTACTCGCTCACATTCTTCTTTGCCAACTTCGGTCCAAACGCGACCACATTCATCGTGCCCGCGGAGATATTCCCAGCCAGGCTAAGGTCAACATGTCACGGCATATCGGCAGCATCGGGCAAGGCAGGGGCCATCGTCGGGGCGTTTGGTTTCTTGTACGCGGCACAGAACAAGGACAAGACGAAGACGGACGCCGGGTACCCACCTGGTATCGGGGTCAAGAATTCACTCATCATGTTGGGGGTCATCAACTTCCTCGGTATGATATTCACTTTGCTGGTGCCAGAAGGCAAGGGCAAGTCACTGGAAGAGATTTCAGGTGAGAACGATGAAGAACAGGAGCAGCAGCGGGGACCTCCTAATAACACCACCACCGCCACCCTTCACGTTTAATTAGCACCTGCTGGCTATATGCTAATTCGATCATGTTCTCTCGTTTCTTGTTGGTGTGTGCTTAATTAATCATACATGTTCTCTCGTTTCTTGTTGGCTTTGTGCTTGTATTTTCTAGCTATTTGTTTCATTCTCTGTCTATTAATTATTGAGATGACGTACGATATATCCAGTCGAGAGGGTTCAGAACTACAGTACTTTATGATTTCATCATCACATTGTTTATTGCATTTTTCATATAATAAACTGAAAACTCTGTTGGTTGGTTGCTCGTCTCCGTTCTTTCAATATAATRGGATGTGAATTAGAGTTCGGCTTCTATCAGAATTTTTTTTATTGTTGCCAGAATTTTTTTTTTATTTTTTATTTTTAAAAAAAGGAAAACAAAAAGGTCATACTGATCGACCCAAGTGATTAATTACAAAAAAAAGTGATTAATTAAAGAATTAATGGCGCGCAAATGATTTTTACAATATTTACAAGTACGTGCTGGAGAAATAGAGATAGACATATATATATATATATATATCGAGGAAGTTCAAATCTGAAGGGAAGAGGCTTCGAAATAAATAAATAAATAAAAGAATATGAAGGGATCGAAGAGAAACAGAAGAGCATTACCAGATAGCAACGTTAATTAAATGTGATATTTACTTTGAGGGTGAAATTCTGAAACATGCAAAACAGTAAAGAGAATTTTATTATACTAAGGTAAGATTTAAGGCACTATTAATTTTATTTTCTTAGGCTCCGTTTGGAAGGAGTACTAATACAAATATGTACAGTGCAAGTACAAGGGTTAGAAATACCATGTGTACATATTTGTATTTGCACTCTTCCCAGACTGAGCTTAAGGCTCTGTTTGGTTCCTATGCAAATATGAACCAGGTAAAGCTTTTGCACCRGGTTTATGATAAGCACCTTTACCTGATGCAAATTAAATTTGCACCACCTTCTTCCTACCTTAATTCTATCATATAAAGTGGGGATGACATCATTTTTTTCTTATCATATTCTTAAATAAATAACCTTCCTCCTCTTTCATATAAAGTGGCATCGCACTATTTTACTTCTTACAAACAAACAAGATCAAATCTCAAGCAATAATAAACCAGAATTTGCACTCCCATGCATTTAGCCCAGTGCAAAGAAATGGAGCCTAAGGCTCAGTTTGGAAGGAATACAAATACAAATACGTACAGTGCAAGTACATACTAAATACATGATTTTGCACTCTACATATTTGTATTTGTACTGCTTCCAAACTGAGTCTAAAGCACAAAAAGTATTGAAAATAATGAATAAATTTGATGGGAAACTTGCTTGGGCCCAGTTTGGAAGTATTACAAATACAAATATGTAGAGTGCAAAACTATATATTTTGTGTTATTTTGTATATATTCGTACTGTACATATTTGTATTTGTACTCTTTCCAAACTTAGCCTTATGAGAAATCGTGATGCAACTAATTTCCTCTTGTTGCTTTCACAGTAAGGTAAATTTTATAACAGCATTTAATGTGATATTACTTTGCTAAATTTGTAAGAAAAACTTTTGAAATGAATTTAATCAATTAAACTGATAAATAAACAAAGTATATATTAATGTAAGGAAATATTATTGAGGAAAATCAATAAATTTAGAGAAAATTCCCGATTATTACCCTGTACTTTGGGCCTAGTGCCACTTTGGTTCCCAAACTTTAAAATGGGACAATTCAGTACCCGAACTTTCAAAGTGTGACAATCCAATACCTACCGTTAACTTACTGTTAACTAGTCGTTGAGTGACATTTAAAAAAGACACAAATGCCCTTCGAGTGTCATTTAATTTTGTTTATCAATCATCCAAACGTTGACAAAAAATTAACAGTCCCAAATCTGCCTCTTCTATTCAAGAAAGTTGGGGACTGTTAATTTTTTGTCAAYGCTTGGATGGTTGATAAACAAAATTAAATGACACTCGAAGGGCATCTGTGTCTTTTTCAAATGCCACTTAATGGCTGGTTAACAACTAGTTAACGATAGGTAATGGATTGTCACGTTTTGAAAGTTCGGGTACTGAATTGTTGCATTTTAAAGTTCGGGAACCAAAGTGGCACTAGGCCCAAAATACATGGTACTAATCGGGAATTTTCCCATAAATTTACTACTAAATTAGGTTGTATTTGGTAAATTGGTGTTGTATTCTCATTTTGACTCCATTTAAGTGTTGCAAATATATTTGATTGGGCAGATTAAACTTTGAGGAAGCATTTTTTTTTGGATTTTGAGGGGGAAAAGTTGGTCAATGGAATTTTGATTCTCATTGACCAAGAAACCCATGTTCGTTTTATAGATTTATGTGGGGACAGGGAAAGTTTATTTTCCTGGGGCAAGTTGTCAACACTTGAATGGGACAAAAATTCTCTTTTTAATAATGGATTTTATGGCTAAAATGATTATTGCATTATTTACATGGGAAATAAAAGAATATGGATAAATGCACTTATCTGGATAAATCTTTCTTGAGAAACACCTACCCGAATAAATACATTTACCTAGGTAAATAACTTACTAAAAAGTGAAATTTAATTCCCACTTCCATTGTCCTATGTAGATGGCGTTCAGAGGTATAGATGAATCCAACCTTGTTTTTGTCAAAATTTTTGAATATTAATGAGGTGACTTTAAATTCATTTTGAAAAGGTAATTATATGTACCTACAATTTAAGAGTCAAAGTTCCGTGATTTATACCATATTCTAAAATGCAGTTGTCCACATCAGCTTAGTAAATGTAATCACTCCCCTTTAACATATGTGCATATCAGCCCATGCATCGACGATTGTAACTAGGGGTGGATTTGAGTCGAGCCAAGCCGAATAGTACGAGGCTCGAGCTCGAGCTAGAACCTTAAGCTCGAGCTCGACTCGAGTAAAAAATTTATAAGCTCGAGATCAATTTGAGAAAAAATGTTTTATAAAAATAAAGTTATATATAAAAAATATTTTTTATTTGATATTTAAAAAATTAAGAATTATAATAATTGAGAATTATGATACTTTTATTATATTATATTATATATATATATATTCGAATTTGGTTTGCGAGCCTCATGAGCCGAGCTCTATTAGGCTCGAGCTCGGCTCGTTTATTAATCGAGCCTATAAATTGGGCTCGAATTCGGCTCGAAGCTCGATTGAAACCAAGTCGAGTTGAGCTTAAATAGCTCGTGAAGAACTTGGCTTGTGGCCACCTCTAATTGTAACTATAAAAGAATATTTTCACGTGCCAAAACATTTCACTTTTTTAAATTTCCAATTTTGTGATTTAAGTTCAAATGTTGTAATTGACACCCTCTTAGTGTTAAATTTAGACAAGTTGCTTTTGATAAAGGGTTCCTAGTAGATAAGGGCAACTTTTTGCCCTGAATATCAATAAAAGATAATATTTTTATAAAATAACAAAAATAATGTAACTTTTTTGAAAAATATCAAGGAAGGGCAGTGAGACTGTTCATCGTCTTCTTTTGTTTCACCAACCTTCTGTTTAGCGCAAGTCGTGCCGGACTGAGACAAAGCCATTAATAGCAGTATTGCCCCTTCGCAGCTTACTATGGTTCGGTAAACCAAGTTATCCTCATAGATCTACAAAAGAACATCCATCGCGACTTCTTTTTGTCTCTATGTCCCTACCTTCACGATTTCTACCAGTATGGGGATGCTGCCTTCATCGACCAAACCGATTTTCGCATCCGGTACAGACCAAGATGCTCAACACAAAAGCCGCTTTATCTACCATACTGGACTCGAGACCTGCCATTAATTCAACAAGTGGTTTCATGATCCCTGCTTGAATAGCTCTGACTTTGTTCTCCTTAATCGAACACAACGAATAAAGAGTTGTTAATGTGTCCTTTTTTCCATGAGAACCACTGTTCTCCAGTAGGTATACTAGAAGTGGGACGACACTAGACCATCCAATTACAGTTTTGTTCTCCTCGATCTGCGAGAGGCAAAGCAGTGACACTATTTCTCTTGAAGCTGAGCATCGGAAGAGGAGACAAGAGAGATTAGAGGCCTTACAGCCCCAGCATGAGCAATCTTGAGGCGATTTTCCTACTTGTTCTTGGTGAGGAGTCTAAGCTCCATGGTCGCTTGCCTCTGCAGGTCTAGCGAGCCCGATTCGAGATCGGATACAAGCTGATGAATTAGATCATTGGAATTCTAAGAAGTGCAGGCCACCATGAGGCGACGACTATGCGCGGAGGTGGTTGGGAATTCACCTAATTAATTGTTGTTGCAGTGACTGAAAGCTGAAGATGAATCATCATCGATTCTTAGATCACCAAAGCTTCGTCCCAGGTAAGTAAAATTCAAGGAAATTCAGGCCTCCATCACCAGAGCTCAGCTACTTCATCAAATGTTGGTCATTGCATCCTGGCTTGTTACCGGTTTATCACACACTAGCTCCGCACCTGGCAGGGTGTATTGTCCAACCACCTGTTAAAAACAATCACAGAGGTAGAGGATAGGAATGGCAATGGGTAGGGTACTCGTGCAAATTGCCCTACCCATTCCTAAACCCGCCTCTGTATCCCTGATTCCAAACCTATCTAACTTTTCCTTTTGAATTTCCCAAATCCGTTAAACCCGTCACGACCCGTCCCACCTATTAAACCCCTTGACCAAACATTTTCTACTTAAAAAAAGTTTCTTAATGCTTATAGTATACATAAAATTGAGTCAACTAATAATAGCGCCAAATCTCTTAACATTACGTTGAGCCACTAAGCCATCTTGCCTTTTGTGTTATTTAATGAAATAAAATAGATTTTATTAACTTTTGTGTTCATTAAAATAATAAATGCATGCATATGATTAACAATTCTAACTAAAGATTAAAAGAAATAATATTTAAAATTAGCATTTTATAACTAAATGAAATAAACAATCTATGAAATCCAATTTTACATAAAATGATGATTTTAATCCCAAAAAATTTATACAAATAAAATATTAATAATGAAATAATTATCTCTGTCCTTAAAATTTATAAATTTGTGTATGATATATAATATAATATCTTCATATTTATGCATCCTGGGTATCAAGTATCAGATACCCTAAAGTCAAAACCCAAACCCGTTTGAAACCCTATAGGGTTTTAATCTAAAATCCCAAACCCTATTGGGTTTTGATAAATGGGTCCTATTAGAGTCGGGGTGGGTTGGATACCTAAAAMTTCCCACAAAATTGCCATCCCTAGTAGAGGAAGAGGAAGACGATGAACATTGTCATTGCCCTTCTTTGATATTTTTCCAAAAAAAGTTACCTTATTTTATAAAAATATTATATTTTATTGATATTGAGAGTAAATAGTTGCCCTTATCTGCCAGAAACCCTTTGATAAATCAAGATGTGACTATCTTGTATATATAGTAACAATAACAGAAATGAATTACAACTCCTAAATTTAGGAAGTATTTCAATTTTGAAATGCTTCCAGTTCCACAACAATTTTAGAATCCACGGTTGTTGGTTGATGATCAAGTTTTTGAAGATTTTGGCATAAAATTCGTTGAATAACCATGTTTATAAAGTCGTTCCAAAATTAGGTAAGCCATAAGCTTCAGGTACCATTAATTACTATTCTACCTTTGCGTATGGGGCATTAAACAATACCAAACTTCCATTTTCAGACTTATTAGGCAGTTGACGTTGATGGGGTAAATAAGCAAGCAGTCCTATTTAAAGTTTTATAGAGGGAAAGATGATGTTATGTGCAAGTGGGCCTATCTCTAAAGATGCCTTTTTTGCTAACTAGGTATGTATATTTGTTCGTTCCAATATAAATGCAAATTCAATTCTGGCAATTACCAACTTTGGGGAGGAGATTATTGATTAGTATATTGCGTATCACCAAATAACAAAACAAAAAGATGTCAAATACAAGTTTATCCGATATAAAAAAAAAGGTTACCACAAAAGTTTTACATCCAAAACTGGTATTATAAAAGATGTGACCAATTAATCACAATTTACAGGGTGTTTTGATTGGCCAAATCTCTTATGAAACCATATCTTTCTCTTGCTGATATCAAAGCTTTTTCCTATAAAAAAATAAGCATGAAAATGGTTTCTTCCATTTTTATACACTCTTAACTTTTTTTTTAGAAGGCACGCACTTAGCTTTCAAAAAGTGCAACCTACACCTTTTTCATTACAGTTTCTAAATTCGAATGAAAGATACAAGGTGGTTTATTTAAGAACATCGGTGGTAATCACTCAAATTGAGGTGGTTTGTGCATAGCTAGCCATGGTTGTTAGAAAGATATTAAAAAAAAGAAAATACTACAATTTTTTGTTTATTAATTGAAATAAAGCACTCCTCCCCCTTCAGTCAAAGAGTTGACTCTTTATGAACATCTAAATAAGCTATTCATTTTAGATTGTTGTTTTCCCATCTACCTCATTCCACAGCTTCAAGAATAAAGGAATTTGAATAAAAGCAATTTTATAAGTAGGATTTATAATTTTCGGAAGGTTCTGCTTTACTTTGTTTTTAATTTTCTTTTGGGTAAATTGCTTAAACCTCCTYTAAGGCTCAGTTTGGAAAGAGTGCAAATGCAAAAATATGTACAGTATAAATACATATGAGATAATATAGAATACAAGGTTTTACACTCTACATATTTGTATTTGTATTGCTTTCAAACTAAGCCTTAAGGTTTGGTAATTGTAATCACCTCCCCTAAACTTTTTAACATAGTTGCAAGTAGACCTCTTTTGTTTGAATCCTCTAAAAAGAGACATGAAAATGTCCAAAATACCCCTACAGTTGCTTTTGACAAAAATGTTTATTTTTCAAAGTTTTTATTTATATGAATGGCTAGCCCAAACCCTTCCATCTCTTTTCTTAAATTGAATTATTTTCCAATTTTTCCCTTCATATCAATAACTGAAAGGTAAAGCTGCAACTTTAAATTCTCTCTTTTTTTTTTTTTCTTTTGTTGTTTATAAAGTTTGTAATTCAAGGTTCAAAGTATCGATACGTATCATGTCGATGGCTTCCTGATACACCTCTCCAGGGGTTTTATTGGGTCAGGCACTGGTTCAGAGTGTAGTCGGGCMTTAAATCGACCCATCTGAACCGTTTAAAAAAAATAAATAAATAAAACCTACTGATATAGGCTGACATGTTGGCCTGTGTCGATACTTCGAACCTTGGTTTGCATTGTTTTTTCTTGTAGAAACCAGCCTCAATAGTAATTGCATAGGTATTTTGTACATTTTTGTGTTTTTTATTGGAAGATTATAACAGAGGGGATCTACTTGTGACTGTATCAAAAAGTTTAGGAGGTGATTACACTTACCAAACTTCAAGGTAGATTTCAGCAATTTACCCTTTTTTTTATACTTAACCCTTTTTTTATTACTGATTGTGCTGCTATACGATTCAACAAAGGCATTTCCCAAATTGACAAGTGGTTCATGAAATTGTTAATTTCTGCAACTATTGCGAATCTGTTTTTAAAACTATGATGAGTCTTCATGTTTGTCCTCGTAGACACTCCATTTCGTTACAATAATTTTATAATGAAGATAAACTATAAAAGCATACGAATCAATTGTTGAATAGAAGAAGAAGAGATAATTCCCAGGTCAAACTATTGAAATACCAAGATCAAAACAACAACAAATGCTTAATAATCTTATCAATTAATTCAAAGATTTTTTTAATAAAAGGAAATCGTACGTGCTTCGGTATCACAATTTTATTCTATCATCCTGTGTCGCCAGATTCCATTTTAGGAACCCTAAAACTTAAATTTTCATTCTCTTGGCATTAACACCCTCGTTTTATTCTTTTGTTTTTGGGCACTAAGCTTCGTTTTGTTCAATATCACAGTTTATTGAACCCCTCATAAACCAAACTTGATCATAGCTTATCCTCCATGCATTATATTGTTGCCGCTCCGTTTTGCTTTCTCTACTTCCCATCTGGCCTTCTCACATATGCCATCTATCACTCCATTTACAAGAGCAATTGTTATTTCATTGTTACAATAAGATACTTACGTTATTTATGTTATCCTTTCAATCGTAGAAATTTATTAAATAAAACATAACATGTGAATAGAAATTTGATTAAACAAATAAACAAACATTAAAATATGATAAATGGATTTTAAAATTAATGATTTCCTTTAAAAATCCTGTACGAGGTTTGTAAAAATTTCTTTWCCTTTTCTTTTTCTACTTTTTCCTTCAAACCAAACACAATCTTAAATTAAATGACAGCTCCAACTCCAAAAATAAATAAGGAACCTCAGACAAAATTATATAGGTAACCTTCAAAAGGATGGGGGATTCATAAACACAATATGGTAATTCAAATAAAATAATTAGTATAAAGGATTTTTAAATTATAAATTAGACTTGATTTAATTATTTAATTTAAATAAAAAATTAAAATAGAGTTTAAACACGCAGACGTGGGCGTTTGTAATTGGCGGGTACACTCGTCCAGTAAACCCATGGGTGCACATAACGTGGACTCAGAAAAACGTGAGAGAAAAAGTATGACCGTTGACCGAGATAAGAGGGGAGTATATGCCGCCGAAGATTCCCTCGTACAGCTATACTATGGTGATGCAGTTAAATAGGTAACCAATCCCCCCCTCCCCCCCTATTTCCCTCCATCCATAGCACAACCAGCTACCCAKCTCTCTCTCTCTCTCTCTTTCTCTGTTGTATCCAACAGCGACTCAAGAAAAAAAAAAAACAAAAAAGAATTGGTGAGATCCCTCTTCTCCCTCGTATCTCTCTTGTTTGATTACATCACTTTCCATGGCTTCCCAGAATTTCTAATTGACGTTCAAACTTTTCTTCCTTTAATTCTATTATTTAATTAGATTTAACGTTCAGACTTTCAGTATCTGATTTTCTTCTTTCTTTTTTCTTTCTTTACTTCTGCCATACATGTGAAGAAGGTTGCCATTATCTTCAAATCCAGACTATCTTTTCCTGCATCCTATCTTCTACTCAAGTTGGTTGTCATTCTCTTTTTTTTTTTTTTTAAATTTAATTTGAATAGCCTGAACACGATCTTTTTCTTTTTTTTTTTCGTTTTCTTTCATGGATCATCTTTATATTTTCAGTTTAACTTTGTATTCGAATGCATTGCCCCATGAGTCGGTTACATCTGATTGAATACAAGTAAAAAACAAAAGTAAATAATAATCGCTGATTTATGGAATAGTCATCGCTTGACGGCTTGAGCTTGAATACTATTATTACATTTAACTTTGTTTTCTGATTTTTAAATCGAAATCTTGCTACTAGTTGAAGCTTTGTTGCCTCTCTGTTTCTTTCTTGCCTTTTTCCATATCAAAGACCGAAGAGTCATATCCCGCATTTCTGAGTACTTTCTCCGATCTGGATGACAAAACAGAGCCTTCGTAAATAGAAATGTTCATTGGTTCGCAGTTCATACTCTACTTGCATTAGGGTCAAGATGATCTTTTAGGTGTTTTTTTTTCGATTTCTTGTAATTTCTTGATGTAGGTTCGTTTTTTAATATTTTTCTAATTCCTTATTTTTGGTACTTAAAGATCTTTTTTTTTTTGGAATTATTTGGTGACGAACAGTTTCAATATTTAACTTTCTTAATAAATAAAATAAAAGGAACTCTGTTTCTTTTTTTTTTTAAATTCAAAACAAGTCAAAAAGGTTAAGTTATCGAGATCATCTTTTTTGTATTTTTATCTTGTCTGATCTTTTTTTTTTTTCTACGTGAAGTCAGTGGCGGGTACGTGGGTTTGGAACCCTTCAGGTCGAGATGGATTTCTTGGTTTCTTCACTGTAATTTTTCTTGTTGAATGAATCTTCATTGGAACTCATGTTGTTTGCTAGTGCTTTTCCAGCAGTCACGGAGCCTTTTGGTCATTCTAGAAGATAATGGAGCCCTTACCTCTTTTGTATTTCTCTATTTGTTCCACACCTCTTGCTCTGCAACAATCCGATCTGCTCTTCCCACTTGTCCTACCACTTTTGAGATAAATTATCATCTTTATTCACCAAAGATTTGGAGCAACAGGGGAAGCATCGAGGCAGATCAGATAGATTAGCAAAAAGATTCCTCTCCCAAATAACCCAGGATGCCCTCTAACCTCTTGCTAATGAACCCAGAATTTCTAGGATCGAGCGATCCTTTGTCTCATGTAAATGGAATCATACTTGTTTTTCTTAGAAATCATGAGAATCACACCGAACAAAATTTTATTTATTTTTTACTGTAATCATGTTTTGCAATACAGGAATCTCTTTTTCCAGGATTCTCCCCATCGCGTCTGCTTCTCTAAAAGAATCTCCCTTCTTGTCTTCTATAAGGAAAAATAAGAAAATTAAAGGAAAAGAGAATTATATGGCTTTCCGCTTTTGAGTTATTATTATTGTTAAATTTTTTTCGATGAAATTATCCACTCGTTGTTATTTTCTCTTTTTCTGGTCTCCATTAACCATCAATGTCACCAACAGTGAACCAATGTTTTCAAAGCAGAAAATATACATATGATGCTTTTGTCTTCTATTAGGCTCCTGGTCTTTCTGATAGCTACCTTTATTTATTAAGTGACTCGCTTGAGTTATAACCTGAGTGAACTCGGTCTGGGTAAGATTAGATTCTGATCTGTGTTCTGTTCACCTATTGTAATTTTGTAGAAGCATTTCTGGAACTCTTAGAAAAGCGCAGAGGCAGACAAAGCTTCCCATTAGCGTAGGAATGGCTGGGGGGCAACTGCAGGTGCTTAATGCACTTGATCAAGCGAAGACACAATGGTACCATTTCACTGCAATCGTAATTGCGGGCATGGGTTTCTTTACGGATGCCTATGATCTGTTCTGCATCTCACTCGTCACCAAATTGCTTGGTCGAATATACTACCATGTTGATGGATCGACTAACCCTGGAAGCCTGCCTCCCAATGTGTCAGCCGCTGTCAATGGCGTTGCATTCTGTGGCACACTCGCCGGCCAGCTTTTCTTCGGCTGGCTCGGTGATAAGATGGGTCGTAAGCGTGTCTATGGTATGACCCTCATGCTCATGGTGATTTGCTCAATAGCTTCCGGGCTTTCATTTGGACAAGACGCAAAAGCTGTGATGGCCACCCTCTGTTTCTTCCGCTTCTGGCTCGGATTCGGCATCGGTGGTGATTACCCACTTTCTGCCACAATCATGTCTGAATACGCCAACAAGAAGACTCGTGGGGCCTTCATCGCTGCCGTCTTTGCCATGCAAGGCTTTGGAATTTTGGCCGGTGGGATGGTGGCAATTATCATCTCTGCTGCATTCAAGGCCAAATTCCATGCCCCAGCTTACGAGGTTGATCCAATTGCTTCGACTGTGCCACAGGCGGATTATGTCTGGCGTCTTATCCTAATGTTTGGTTCATTGCCTGCTGCTTTAACGTATTACTGGCGTATGAAAATGCCCGAGACTGCTCGATACACCGCCCTTGTTGCTAAGAATGCAAAACGGGCGGCGAGCGACATGTCAAAAGTCTTACAGGTTGAAATTGAGGCGGAGCAGGATAAGGTTGAGAGTCTGTCGCAAGACACTTCCAACTCATTTGGCTTGTTCTCCAAGGAGTTCCTTCGTCGTCATGGGCTTCACCTGCTGGGAACCACCATGACATGGTTCTTGCTGGACATTGCATTTTACAGTTCCAATTTGTTCCAAAAGGATATTTTCAGCGCAGTTGGATGGATACCTCCGGCAAAGACGATGAGTGCACTTGAAGAGGTTTATAAAATTGCAAGGGCACAAACGCTTATTGCTCTGTGCAGTACTGTTCCAGGGTACTGGTTTACGGTAGCTTTCATTGATAAAATTGGAAGGTTTAAAATTCAGTTGATGGGTTTCTTCTTCATGACGGTGTTCATGTTTGCATTGGCCATTCCCTACCATCACTGGACCCTGAAGGATAACAGAATTGGCTTCGTTATTATGTATTCTCTGACCTTCTTCTTTTCAAACTTTGGGCCTAATGCCACTACATTCGTCGTGCCAGCGGAGATCTTTCCGGCCAGGCTACGGTCGACATGTCATGGTATATCAGCTGCATCTGGGAAGGCTGGGGCAATGGTTGGGGCTTTTGGCTTCTTGTACGCAGCGCAGCCGCAGGACAAGACAAAGACAGATGCAGGGTACCCACCAGGTATAGGGATCAGAAATGCCCTAATCATGCTCGGTGCTATCAACTTCTTTGGTATGGTGTTTACTCTGTTGGTACCAGAGTCAAAAGGTAAATCGTTAGAGGAGATGTCAGGTGAGAACATAGAAGACAACGGAAATGGTAGAGAAGACTTGGATCAGCAAGCTGCTGATTACACTAGCAGTACAAATCCTGTGTAATTTAGTCCCGGCTCATAAGCTTTTCTCTTTTAGCGTAGGATCATCAAAAGAAGGTCTCTTGTTATGTGTCAAAAAAAAAAAAGGTGTCTTGTTTCTTCTTCTTTTTTGATGCTAATCTTAGTTGTTATTCCAAAGAGTTCAAACTCTGCAGGGTCTCTGTGACTGCACTGCTAATATGGCAAATTATAAGTAAAATTTTCATCTCATTTCTGCCCATTCTCCCTTTGAATTGTGATGATGCTGGATGATAACTAAGCTGCCAACTCATATTCCGGTTAGACTGAAAAGAATTTCTCCCCTCGTAGTCATGATTGATTCACAATGTAGATGGATATTCTTAATTTCTTCCGTCGTTCCCATTTGTTGTCTTGGTATGTTGAAAGTGGAACGCTTTATTTTTTTCTGATTTGTCATTTAGAGCGAGTGTTGCTTTGAATTGAAACTCAAGGGTCCCGCTCCCCCATATTTTGGACTTTATACTTAAAAGCATGGATGCTATGCTAGTGCTGCAATAATTTCAGTCTGCTGGAAGTCATCATTGTTAATGTTAGTTTGGTTTTTGTCGGGTTACTTGGCTTTGAAACGTGTTTCCCAGTTACCCAGTTTCCTTATATTGGTTGCCAACTATATTACTTTGTCCATTTGCTTAAATTTCTATTACTCATCAAATCCTGTTTCAATGTCAGTGAAGATCCATAAATTTGGAAGGAGTACAAATACAAATATCTACTGTATAACTACTTACAAAATAATACACAACACATAACACAAGGTATTTATATTATTTCCAAACAGAGCCTAAGACTTTAGTTTTACACGTTTTTCGTTGATATAGGTTCAATTTCAACAAAGCTTAGTTTCTATTTACTCTGCTTTGGGTCGAAACGTACAGACAAGCCTCGGGTCCTCACAACTCACAAGACCATCTTCACACCATCCTCAGCCGTGCATCTGAAATATCACATAAGAAAACATACAAACAATTACGAAAATATTTCTAATACATGGCTATAAAACGACTGAAGACTAAGAACAGTTTGTGAGGACTGAAATCAAACTCACCCCTAATGAGATCGGATTTGGTCCTTGCCATCTTCACAGTCTTTTACAGCCATCCATGTATTGGGAACATCTCTATATCACGTGAACGGCTGTAAGAAACTTGAGGATGGTGCAAGGATCAAATATATTTCCCCTAATTGATTCAAAATAAATAAGATATTCTTAAGCTGTGTTTGGTTTAAAAGAAAAAGTAGGAAAAGGAACGGAAAAGTAGAAAAACCTTTACAAACCTTATATGGGTTTTCTATCTTTCATTCCCTTTCTCTATGTTTTCCTTCAAACCAAACATAACCTTAAAGGTTAGGAAATTGACTTATTCACTCCTACTGTTTAGAAATTAACTTAAAGTATCCCTAGGTTTTCAGACAATAGCATTCCGTTATAATCCATTTACATGTGACACCGTGTGACATATAATTCTTTTTAAAACCCAATATTATCCTTACCAAGAGGTATGAGATCCGAACCTAAGTTGACATTCTTCCAACAGTGGGGTTGAGAGGTATTTAGAGGTGTAAAGTGAGTCGTGCCGGGCCGGCACGGCACGGCCCGTGGGCAGCCCATGTAAAGTGCGGGTCGTGCCATGTTGGCCTGTGGGCCATCACGCCCTCCTCGGTGAAAAGATTGGGGGTCAACCTGACATGGCCCATGGCCCAGGCCCGTGCATGTCGTGTTGCGGGTTTGGACCGGGCTGGGCCGTGGGCTTGGGTTGTGTCGGGCTGGGCCACAAGGTGGGCCTTGGGCCTAGGCCAAACCGGACTAGACTGATTTTTTTACTTTTTTGTTTTTTTTTTGAAAATTTTAATTTCTTTTCTAACTGAAAGTGTAAAACTAAAATATTTAACTTTCCTTTGAGCTATGGAAACTATTTAAAAAATTAAGAAATGAGAAATGAGAAATCTAACACATAAATGAAAAAAAAAATACTTAACCAAATAAGAATGATGGAATAAAAAATTGGAAGAAAAATAGGAATTTTATTTCATTTAAATTTGAATGATACAAATTACAAAAACACAAAATTACATTTAAAAAAAATAGAAAATAATTTAAATAAAATTAAAACAAATTTTACAATAATTTGAAAAAAACCGAGATTAGTAGATCATGTGTCATGGTGGTGAGAACTAGATAATTTTTTGAATGTTCACTCCACCATGCTAAAATATCAAAATTATTTGTTCCCTCACTTAAACTAGAAAAATTTGCTTGTAAATAAAAATTAAGTTTAGTAAATGAAATTGTTGTAGAAGTAGCAGATTTCTGCCTTCTACTTGTTCAATAAAAAGGTTTTTATCTTCTACTACTATGTTCAAGCTCAGAAGTAGAAGATGTTGTACAAGTTGTAGGATTATTTCCTACTGCTTCAGATTCATATAAACTGTACATTTCAAATAATAAATTATTAATTTCTTCTTTTCTATTTCTAATTTCAGTATTCATATTTTCACAATATGTTTCAAGTAAAATATCTAAACCATCTTTTCTAATCCTAGGATCTAATATTGTAGCTAAGCAATAAAGGGGAGAAATGTTCTCCCAATATTTTTTAAACTTATTTTCCATTATTCCAACAATACATTTAAATTGTGGATTATTTTTATATTTTGCAAAACAATCACTAATCACCATTAATTGATAAGGTAAATTACAACTATTTGGATAATAAATACCTGATAATTCATTAGTTGCATCATAAAACTGTTTTAAAAAATCTCTTATACAAACCGTCATTTCACAATGTTCCTCAAATATAATATCATTAGGCATTTTTGCATTATAAAAATCACTAAGAATGTGCTTATGAGAATTACAACTTTCTAACATAGCATAAGTAGAATTCCATCTATGTTTAACATCTAATATAAAATGTTTATATTTTAAACCATAATTTTGACATAAATATTTAAATTTTTGTTTTCTTGTCCCTGAACTTTTAATATATATAATACAATTTATAATTTTACAAATATAAGTAGAAATAATATTTAAAGTATCTTAAATACATAAATTTAAGATGTGACATGCACATCTAATATGAAATAATTTACCATTTAAACATAGTTTTAATTGAGATTTTAAAATATTTATTGCAGAACCATTATTGCTAACATTATCAAAACTAATAGAAAATAATTTATTTTCAATTCTGTAAGCATGTAAAGTATTTAAAATGCTTGTAGCAATAGTTGGGCCAGTATGTGGCCATTCAAGCCTAATAAACTTAAAATTCTTTTATTTCAAAGCCAATTTTCATTAATAAAATGACCGATAATACAAATATAACTTATGTTAAAATTAGAAGTCCAAACATCAGAAGTAATTGCAACTTTAGAATAAAGGTTTGATAAAAAATAAATTAAATCTTGTTTATATGAATAAAAATTTTTAAAGTATATGATCTAATAGTATTCTTAGAGATATTTTTATATTGTGGATTTACAGAATTACGTAACCATTTTTCAAGTTTAGTATCTTCAACTAACAAAAATTGTTGTTTTGAATATACAGTGTATTTTGCTAATTTTGTCTCATATTTTTTTGTGAATATTTAAATGTACCAACCCCCCTCTCAATTTTTGTTTGTGTTGTATCTCTCTTCTTCTTCTTTTTCTCATGTGTGAGCAAATATCTTCTCAAATGGCCAATACACCCTTGATACAAAAGTTAATGTCTTTTCTACATTTTTGGCAAACTGCTCTTTTTCCCTTCCCCTCAACATCCTTTATTCTAAATATTTTCCAAATCGAGCTACTCAACTTAGAGGCATCAATGCTAACACTATCATGATGCGACTGAATATCGTCAATAGTGAACAGGTTGGGGAATTGGTTTTGGGAAGAGCCAGCCATTTTTTTTAAATTCTAAAAAAACAAAAATTAATTTAATTTGATTTACCCGGATTGCGAGTTTAGAATCCCAACTTGATTTCAACATTTAAATCCTTTCAACGTCCAAGCCTCCCAAATTGCTAACTTGAGATACTTGGGCTGGTTGAGCAAGCCTTCTTCTTGTTGAAACTTCAATAAAGTTGAGAATTGGAGAATCAGACAATCAACCAATCAGACTATCAAAGTTCACTCAAACTGCAGATAATGTATGAGAGAAAGAAGACATTAAGAAAATTATTGAATTGGTGTGAAGAGAATGATGGAGGATTGGGCTATTTGTAGAAATTGAAAATAATTCAATTGCCCAAAATACCCTAAAAACTAGATGTTTTTTAGTTATTCTGGGGGTATTTTGGTCTTTGTAAAGTTATTTATAACTTTATCCAAAAGACCCTTTAAATTAGTTTTTATATAGTTGTTGGGGGGCATTTATGTCATTTCCCCATGAAAAAAAAAACATAAATACCCCCCTATATAGCTGTTTATAGTTGTTAGGGGGGTATTTATGTAAAACCCCCCCAAAAAGTTGAAACTAGCCGTTGGGCATCTGGGCCGTGCCGGCCCGTGGACCATCGTGCCGGACTTGGCAAGGCCCATGGGTTGTCATGCTGTTCCGGGAAGCTCAAGGGCATGGACCATCGTGCGGCACRACCCGATTTACACATCTAGGTATTCACTAAGCTGTTCATGAAACCTTCTTCCCATGTGAAAGCAGCCATGGAAGGAAGACCACTAAGAGATGAGGAGGTAGACAATGACAAAGAACTATTCTTCACCCAACAAACGATCTCCTGTTTATCACTAGTATCAATAGCGCAGAAGAACCCATCATCACTGAAAACGGCGGAGACTGGGCTCATTGAACCGTACCCGATCCCTGGCGGTCATCAACAACAGTAGCAGTAGAAGCATCATTGATGGATATGAATAAAAACCACATGACAACATGTTGTGGAGTTCCATATCTTGTAGATGCATCTTAGTAACTTTGTCGATGGTCAACTGATAGATGCTACTTGTAGAGAGAGTGGAGGTGATTGTTTCGCTCTCGCTTAGAATAGAGAGAAAGAGAATAGACAGGCTGCAAGCTAAAATGCCAAAAGCCTAAGATCTGAACCTAGTTGCACAGAGATTAATGGAATAATGGGCTCCTCATCTTCGAGCCAACAGATCTCCGAAGCTCAAGGGCCAACAGATCTCCAGTACTCAAGGGCCAGTGCTCCTAGTATTGAGTTGTAGAGGGGTTTCTTTGTCGACTCTCAT